TGTGATAGGGAAAGGGCTAGATCTGAGCTTGAAAATCAGGCAGATTTTTGTTTCATTAAACATACATCTTAGCAGGAAGTTGAAAAGGTAAGGTCAAGAGAGGAGGGTTGTGCCAGGGGTGATGGTGAAAAGGTGATGGATTAAAAATATAGTCTGATTTAGATATTTTTAAGATGAAATGAAAAATGAACACTTGAAAAATGAGTTAATTAATCATCACGTCTTAGCTATTCAGAGCATTTTCAGTGATCCACAAGGTAGCTTTTCATGTTTTCTGTGGTCAGGAGCTGCAGAACATTATAATCCTTTGCTTATTTTATTTGCTTTCTAGTTTTTGGGGGAATATTAACATAGGACAACTACTTTTAGTAGTTGTATCTGCTTTTCCATTTTTCTTGAAGCAACACTGTGCTTTGGAAATGATGGCCTGGACTGTCTGATTTGCTGCATTCTCCTTCCATCCACAGAGTAGGATTTGTGTGGACAAAGTTTGCTTTTAGGGTAGACTCAACTGGAACTTCTGTCCCAAGCTGGTGCCAGAGGGTTTCCCTAAGGGAATGTAGGGATCCAGACCTGCCACAGGTCTTTCACACAGCTTCAGACCATGTGTGGAGAACTTTGGTCCATGGAGTCAGACTCATCCTAGTCCCAAGGAGTGCCCTGAACAGTAGTGGTCTCAGCACTAACTGATTTCTGTTTTATGCCATGAATTTAACTAATGCCCTTCCCCTCCCCCTTTTTTAGTCCCTGTGACCTGATGTGCTTGGCCATTATCTTGTAGCTGCCTCTACACTTTAGCCAGCTCTGCTCTGATAATTGCACTGAAACTGGAAAAACCCAGGCTTTAGTTTATGCTTGATTTTGGTGGCTCCTTATGATAAAATTAGAGTTTTACTTAAAGTAAAGGCTGAAGGGGAGCAGGGACTTTTGTTCTGCTGAATATGTAGGCAATGGTGGGATGTTTTGTGTCCTGTCTTAATGTGCAGTGGCACAAGAAACCATTAGACACTGCCATTCTTTTAAACCTTGTGTCTTACCTTAATACCTTACTCCTGACTGGCTTGTTTTACCAATTGGTACTGCAAATGCCCCATCTCAACCCTGCCCAGCTTCCTCTCTCAAGCTCCAAATCAATGTCATGGACAAAGTGGGCCATTGGGCTTCAGGAGGAAAAGGCTTCCAGTGCAGCACCCTTCTGCTCAGTCAGCTCTGCCTTGTCTAGCACCTCTTCTCCCACATTTGTGTCCTGGCTGCCCAGCTGCTCCCTCCTCTCCAGCCCCAGTCTGAGGCACTGAATAGAATGTCAGTGGTTTGGGTTTTTCTTTCCAGATTTCATATGTGGTCACTGAGTGCTGTTTGAATCTTTTCTGTCTCATTTCAAGATGAACAACTCAGCAACTCCATTGAGATCCTGAAAGCTCATTGTGAGAATATAAATTCAGCAGCATTTTCTTGAGGGATCATGCATCTTTGGGAAATGTAAAATAAGCCCACAGTCATGCTACCCTGCAAAGGAAACTTCCCAAGCTGCAGCTGGAACTTTGATTTCAAGCATTAGCATTTTTTAATTTTGGCCAAATAGCAGGTGAACCGAGTCTGCCATCTCCACCGAAAAATGACACTTAGAGTAGACCCGTTGAAGCCTGAAAGCTGTTTCTTTTCTACAAATTTAATGTTTAAATAAAGGTTCCCTAGATGCAGTTGCAGCCAGGAAGGAAACAAGTACAACAAAGTCCCCCTCTATCTTACTGTTGTGATGGTGACTTCAGGTTTAATTTTCTCTCCCTCACTAGCTGTGGTCTATAAAGCACGAATCTTGTAATCAAATCTTTGTTAACAGCTCAGTGAATATAATCAAACCATCTATTTTATTCTTCACTTACCTTCTCCTACTTGCATTTCCTGATAAATGACATGAGGTGAATAAGACACTAAACAGAAAGCACTGGGCTTTCAGAACGATTTGTCAGGAATGGTCTCATTTGCCTGCCCTACTTCCTACAGCACTTAGTCACGGAGAGAAGATGTGGTTGCTACCAGTGCAGATGTGTTCACAGTCTGTAGGAGTCTGGCCAGATGCACCTGCAGCTTCAGAGAATTCCTTCCAACAGATCCTTTCCTGTGCTGAGGAGTGGAGAAGAGCATAGCTTTAGATATTCATGTTCACCAGACCGAAATGGTAATGTCAGCCACTGATCATTTCCTCCTTCTTCCCATCCCCTGGAGTTATTTATCACAACGTGCAGCTAGAAATACCATAAGACAAATGGTCTGTGTGAATTGCTTGATCTGCAAAGGGATGATCTGTGCAGTGCGGCTGCCACAGAAGAGAGATGAACACACTCTTTACCTATTGTAATAACACATTGGGGAGGAAAAATGCCTACACTGATTCCTGATTCCTAGAACATAATGTCAGTCTTTATTGCCACTGTGTTATGGAACAGAATGTGAGATAGAATTTGATATTTGTAGTATCAAATATAGCAGGTAAGTTTTCCCTCTGAAAATCAGATGAATTATTCAACATTTAGCCATAGTTCCACAATTATCCAATGATTGGTCCCAAACCTGAATGACTTAGTTCCTCATTCATAGACATGGACCTTAACTTTTTATTGCAAGACACATTTTAATTTGTTCCAAAGTGTCAGACTGCTACAGTTGTGTGCCTATTGCATATCAGTTTTAGAGAGTTTATAGGTTGCTAACTATCAATACTGATGCTATTCTCAAATGTGTGGTTTAGCATTTATCATGTGTAAGTCAATTCTTGTGGTCATATTTACAGGGCTGATGTCTTTAGGGGTTTATATAATTTCTCTGTGTGACGCAGAGGTGTGATGTTAAGGACTTCTTGCAACAAAGAGTGTGATGAGGAGTCTTGCTGAATTTCTGTGTTCCTGAGCACTGACCATCAGTTCAAGGAGCAACGTTTTTCTTATGATGTCTACTCTATAGCCAAATAAGTTGCCCAAGTTCATCTCAATGGAAAATAAAATTGGAGTATTTGGCATGGCACTGAATGTTTCTCATCACATTATGTGGATACAGAAAATAATGTATTGCTGTGTTGAATTATTTTGCCAAACTGTGCATGCCTTTTTGGTCCATCAGGACTCATTGCAGGGGGGAATGTGCTGGCTTAAATGCCAACTCCACCAACTAGTGCTGAGGTGGTACCTACTGCCTCTGACTGAACTGTGCTAGCAGCACCCATGAAATACATTGCATTTGCTCAGGAGAGGAGTGAAATTTGTTAAGTTTCCTACACTTGTGACTCAGTTTTGTTCCCACACCAGAAAAATGGTTCTGAAACAAGAATCAGGAATTTGGTCCTGGATTTGTTAGACAGAAATTTTCAGTTTTGGTAACAGCCTGTTTCTCATGGAATATTTAGCAGAGAAATTACATTGAACATGACTAAAAGGCTACAAGTTGGAAGCAATATTTCGAATTGTTATAGATGAAGGTAAGAGGGTTGTCAGGAAGAACAAAACTTGATTCCAATATCAGGCTTACAGGTGATTTAGAATACTTCATCGTTATTTTAGGCCTCATCACCAAAGATAAATCTGGGGGGTTTTAGTAGTAAATTTAGTATAACATATTTGCAATAAGATTTGTTCCCTCAAAGAGTTGTACCACACGGTGGGCAGACTCTGTGACTGTAGGTTTGGGAGCTGCCTGCCATTGCTCATCAGATGAAAACTGTTAAAGCTCCTTATCCTTAGGAGATAAAACTGTATTCCCTCTCAGACAGAAAAGAGGGACATTTGGAAGACTGTGACTGAGTGACTGTGAAGGAGCACAAATCTATTTCTAGTTAGTTAAAAAATATTTAATCTCCTTATTCGTTTATAGATGATCCTGCTATCCAATTATGCTAGCACTGGATTTGCCTTGACTTTTCGTAACAAATGTCCTATTGAAATCCTTATTTATATATCCTTACTTTAAGGCACCTACATCAATGAACCTGTTTCCTGATATTTTACTGCTCTATACATTTTTTTTTGCTTGTTTGAGTGTTTGCTCCACATTGAATAAATGCCTTGAAAAAGTGTGAGCTACAGCCTTAAGAAAGGTGCTCATGGTACTAGGACAGCTCCTGTGCCTTGCTGATATGCAGATAGAATTCCCACAGGAAGGAGAAGAGGGTGCTGATATACAGCTGTAGGGACTTAGCTGTGTTTCAAGGGCAGTGTAACCATAGGTAATACCTCAGGGTTCAAAACCCGAACCACTACATGAATAAAGTATGTGACCAAACCCTCATAATTTGTGTTAAAAAAATAGTGTCTGTAAGACAGACAGTTTTTCGGGGTGCAACAACCTCTGCTTCTACATCCTCAGAGGTGTCAGCAGAGGTGCACACCTGCACCTGAGCAAGGAGCTGGATGGGTGGGAGCTCACATCTCCAAGCTGGTCATCCACAGTAAGCTTGTGTTCAGTGGTATGAGCAGGAACAGATGGCTGCTGTGTTTAGTTCATGTTTTCGGGGCATGGGATTTCCACAGCTCTGGTTTATAAAAGGGAGCATAGTTCCTCTCTTTCTGGCTCAGCCCCGTGGTCACTTCACCTCACCACGCTGAGTCTGATCAGCACCAGGTGCTTCAGAGGGAGATGCAAAACCCCCCACAGTTAGGGTAAGGTTAGAGCTAAGGTATTTACCGTACAGTACAGTTTTTTAGTGTCAAACATTTGGAGATTAGAACACTTAGAGATAAGTAAGTACACCTTATCCTGTACAACAGCTTTAGCTGTTGTTACTCTGGTTATTTCCCTTACCTTTCTGGACGTCCAAGCCATCCCTCCTGTGACATTAGATGACACTAGTAAGATGTGTTGCAACAAAACAAATTTATTTTGTTTTTTCAAGGTAGAGATGATAATGTTCCTTATTGTACTTTCACTGTTAGCACCAGGAAGCAAAAGTTTACTCTCTCAGTTATCTGCACTGCAGTGAAAAATCGGAACCTTTTCTCTCTTAATTCCAGGCAGGAGGAAACTTTCTTTGATGAAGCACTGTGGATTTCCAATGCTTATTCTGTTGTCACTGCTGAAATCCACAGACTGTGGTAGCACAGAGCTCCATTCTGGAATGAAGGTTAGTCTTTCCTCTTATGGGGAACAATTTGCTGCTCTATTGCTTATTTTTATTTACCACTCTTTTAACTGCTAAGTAGCAATACTGTATTAACACAGTACTTCGGATTTTACAAGGAAAATGAATATTATTCATATTTCATTCCTCAAACATAAATATTCTTAGGCACAAAGATGAAGTTTGTTTAGTTTCATCTTACTCCATGAATCTAATGAAGATGAAAAGCAACATGTACCAGTTTACATCAGGTGGAGTAATTTAGTTCAAGTTGTTATTTTTAAAATATTCGTTTGATCATAGCTTGTCCTATTAAATGGAATGAAGTGGCAAATGATTTAATAAAGTAAGATCATCACTCTAACTAGTAAAGCACATATTTTTGGCATTGATTTAATAAGTTCTATCTCTCATCTTTCATATGCAGTAGGAGCATGACATGTATTTTTGATGAAAATACAGCTCTGACCACAGTCTGTATTTGTATCATGTCACCTAGGAGGTGGACTGGCAGCCCAGAGTGCTCCAGGCAGTAGAAACACTCAGCAGAAGAAATACTCCGTGTCTCAGAGCTTTTGCAGTCCAGGTGTTGCACAAGAGAGGTAAAGGGACACAAACAGCAAGGTGGGAGGTTGCGGAAAGTAGGACAGTGCTGCCAAGGATGATGGGCAGCCTGGCACATTGCTCAGATCTACCAGCATCAGCCAGGAACTTCGTTGGTGCAGTAGTCACTGAAAAAGAAGTGGGATTAGGACATTTTGTGAATGAGTCTTTGAAAGTGGTCTCGGTGGGTATTTTAAAAGACATCCTATAGGGTTTTGTCACTTGTCATTTGTCATTTCAGTCTGTGTGTTAGAAAGATCTACAGATATGACATTTTCTTTCTCCAAATTCTGCCTTTTCCCCAAAACCAATAACTTTGCATGGGGCACAGTCAGTTGTTGCTGATCAAAACAAGAGCTTATATGAGAAACGTACTTTAAAAGAAAATTTTGACTTCTGGCGCTTGCATGTTAAAAAGAACAGCACTGAAACTGGAAGTGCAACAAAATTTTTGGCAGTGTCTTCATAAAAGCCTAGTTTATCCATTAAAATGTGAATCTGTAGTAAAACTTAAATTTATTTTAAGAAATCACCATTTCTCCATTTTTTAAATTGTTCTACTACTGAAAATTGGCAGTAGTAGTTCCCTTCTGTCATTTGTCGGTTTTTAGCCTCCTGGTTCTTGGTAATGGATTTTGGTCTAAACAAAAGGAATCAAAGGAGATGTACATTAAGTTGCAACAGGCGTTTCAGCACGGTGCTGTCTGTTGAAGGGGTGAGTCTTACTGGCACTCCTTACCTTTGCTCCCACTTTTGGCATGGGATACTCTCTATCCAAGAGCTTGCATTTGTTCTCAGTGCTACTATTTTGTACAAGACTGATGATTTTCGCCTTAAACCTCAGGGTTAGACTGTCTTCCCACTTGCTGCATTCAGAGCTAATGCATAGGCGAATAAATTCTGTCTGAGGGCCACTGAGTGGAACTTTTAAGGGCACAGCAGTATTCTAAATCTGTAAGTCCTATTTTGGGAAGCCCCTCTGGCACTTTGGAGCGTATTTGCTGGGCTGTAGTCACACCATGGTACTCACACCTGCCCTGCCTGTACCTGAAGCTAGGCAGTGGCACAAGAGCAGCAGGGGCAGGTGCAGAATGGAACTCAGGCACTCGGTAGGGTGGGCACACCAGAGGGAAGGTTGTTTGACGGGGGGCTGGGCCATGCAGGCTATACCAGATGTGGATTGCAGCAGAGCCAGAGTTCTTTAGAGCCAGTGCCACCACTGAGGACATGCCTTGAAGAGACCTGCCAGCTTATATTCAAGACTGCAGTAAAAAATAAAATCCAACGGATTCCTTTTTAAAATGTTTTCTGCAAACTTACTCCAACCCTTCCTCTTTGACCCTTCGTGTTCAATTCACTTGAGTGGTGCCAGTTTTTGGTCCTATCATCATATTTCTATGGTGTTTTTTATTATTTTTTTCCCCTGTAGTTTCTGCTCATGGGACTCTTTATTTCACTGACGAGCCATTTCCTCTAGAAAATGTGAGTAAATCTTCTCTGTTTCTCATGAGCTAAGTGTGGATGCCAGGTCACAGGCTCAGTGCTGCACAGGTATGGACTAGCAGGATGACCCCACGCTGTTTGCTGTGCAGTGGATGTAGTTCCACCATTAAACCAACCCCAGGCTCAGAGATGATTAAGAAAAGAGAAGTCCTGTTTCTACATCAGAGTGCCAAATGCTGCTAATGTAAAATGAAAGTAGAAGTGAAAAGAAACAAGCCATGTAAGTATGGGAATATAGTTAATTTATTATGGCAGGTCTATAGCTTGGCTCTAATCCCTCATTTGGAAATCAAAACCAGACTGCTGGAACTCACCTGCCAGACTCAATCTGTTTCATAATTACCTGTGGGTTGCTATTTTTGTTTACCTTAATAGCACAGTAAATACTGCTTCTGCCTTTGTTTATGATCTATTTAAGTGATGCTTTAAATAAATGATTTAAATATCTTGAAGAAATTCTGGTTTTAATAGCACCCCAGTGACTACCTCCTTTCACCACCCAAAATAGAAGCCAAAGGATCAGGCCTCCAGCATGAGCTATATTAGAGGGGAAAGAGATTTTAGTATGCTGCCAAGCCTGATGTTTATAATGACCTTCAATTTTTAGTTGCTGCAAGTGATTAGAAATCATGGGGAAATTTCTTTTAAGTACTGAATCCATTTCTTTAGTGGAAAGGTCCAGCGGTAGGACGATTTCCTAATAAAAGCCTGAAGTCTGATTTTCATTCCCTCTTTCTAGATAGCTGAGGCTGGGACAATGGGACAAAGGGCTGTCTTCCTCACTGGCAGTCCTGAAAAAAGGAGATGAATGAAATAGGAGTAAACTAATTTGTTCACTGGTAGCAATGCCTGGGTTGGACCCTCTGTATGCCTGTGCTTAAGATTAGAATTGGTTCCATCTCCCCCTATTAAATTCTGTGAATCTCAGGATGATTTTATCACTTATTGAGGAGAGAAATTAACTTCTCTCTTGGGCTCAGAGCTGTGCATGACAGTACTTCAGGCTGTAGGCAGTAACATAGTAGAGAGAAATAGACTGGTTTCCTCAATACTTGGTTGCAGGTGATGCTCAAATCCTCCTGCTCTTTTTTTATTTGAAGAGTTTGAGAGCTAACATGATTTTCATGTGCTAAAGAAGCTTCCTGCTACCAATGAAATCTACAAGGTCACACAATTGCCCAAATTGACCTCGATGTCCTCTAAAAATGATGTTGTGAAATGAACTCATCTACAAGAAAGGAGAATTTTCAGAGTTTTGGGGTACTTGAGTAAAATACAGAGTATGGCAACTAAAAAAAAAAAAAAAAAAAGATGCAGTTATGTACAAGGAGTATTATGAAACTCCTCATCATAGCTGCTTTTGTATCTGTGTTGGATGAGGTAATTACAAGCCTAGCCCAAAACACTTTGCGTGCTAAAATAGCTCTTTTCCCTTTGGAAAATCTTACTGAAATGCTACCTCTGTAAACAAAGTAAAATAACCCAAATTGTAGCTCTGAGAGGCTATTCTCTTGGGAATTGGTCACTTCAGGTCACACAATGATCTGCTTGGTTACATCTTGGTTAAGGTGATGTAACCATCACTATACTATCAAAGGACCTTCCAAGGAAAGCAATACTAATAAGCTAATAAAAAGGTTTTATAGAGTCTCTAGTGCTTCTCCATTTTGGGGGTGGTGCTGTCAAAACAGATATTTTCCTGAGAGAATCAGGAAGCTGGAATGATTTCCTTTGTCCTATTTAGCAGTTGTGTTTTCTGAAAGTGTTCTTTTCATGAGTTTTACTTTGAAAAAAATCAACAGTTGCTGTTTATGAAAATAAGAGGGAGCTGAAGTGCCTGTAGTGTTTTGTAATAGCAGGATGCTTCTCTGAGTGGCCAAATTAAGACTGGGTTTCAGAGTCTGATTTTTAAATAATTACTTTTACATTTTTGTGTACCTTTAGATGAGTCATGCCTAGAAAGTAGCTAATATCTCATGGTACTTTGATATTGTCCAAAACCCCCAGTTCCAGTTCACTGCTTAACCAGAGTATTTTTCTCATAAAGAGAAAATATCTCAGTTGGAAATGCCAATGTCCCTCTCTACATGCAGAAAGAAATCAGAATTTTGACCAGTTTTAGCTGAAATAAATTTTCCCTTCTTTACAGCTGAAGGGAAATCTTTACAGTCTAACATTTAATGGGTTGTACCAATTTATGTTTTATGAAATCTGATCATCTTGTTCTACATTTTTAACTTTGTAACTAAACTCTTTTAATTTAGACTTTGGAATAAGCAAGGATATAATAAATTTTATTAGTTTTTCAATTTTAAAAAGCTTGTAAAGGTTATATTTGAACCTGCAATTGAAAATGATCATCAACTTTTTTTCTTCCATCTAAAACAAATTTGAGAATGCTATCATTAATATATGAAATTTTACAGAGGCAGGATAGTTGAAAACATATGACGTGTAGCACTTGTAGACAATTGGTATCCTTTCTTGCAGTCTTATCTGGCAAGCTATCAGAAATGAAGGTTATAAACTATTTTAACTATTTTATTTATGAATCTGTTAGGAATTGTGATTCCTATAACTCATCTAGGGAGGAAGAAGAACAATTAAAATACAAGATTGTTATTTGCTCTCATGTAAAGGTTGATGTCAATAAAATGGAAAGAACTGTGTGGAAAAAAGTATATATGCATGATCAAAATTCATTAAATCCAAAATTCATTTCCTTCAATTCTAATTATTTCCACTATATCTTTTACCTTTGGCAGATTTTCTTAGGGTTGGAAACTGTAACGATAGAGTTTTTCACTTCTAAAGAGAAGTGATAAATCTGAAATGAACAACTGTTAGTATGATTGGTAGGTTGCTGGAAGAAAACGCTTTTTATGCAGCATCTTGTCCAAGATTCAATCAGGCTTAAAACCAAAGCATTCCAGTCAGACAGTTCTCATGGATTTTCAGTAATGAACAAGATAGGGTGGGTGGGGGAAATATTTACCAGTGTCTCTGAGGCTTTTGAACTTCATGTTCCTTTGCATAGTTAATTTACTAATCACAAGCTACCACGGCTGGCTCTTTCAGCAGATGGCTCCTTTGCCCACATACACTCCTTGGGACGTGTGGCAGTGACAAGACTCTGCTTTCCCCAGCTCATGGCTTGTGTCAAGTTACAGACAGATGAAAGGACAAACTCTCCTTAAACTACTCATGACAAGGGGACATTCTCTGTAAAGATTTGATCATTCCAGCTCCAGTGACTTCAGGCCTTAGGGACACAAGTAGTGACCAAGGGCCAAGACAGATGCTTCAGCTCCCATGGTGTAAGAAATGAACCTTGGCCACGTTTCTAGAAGATATGGTTTGAGTTAACAATACTGAAGAAAGTAATGAAAGTCCATGAATCTTTCATGATTGATTGTGAACTTATTGTTACTCTCCATGACATGAAATTGAAATGGACATAATCAAAGAAACTTTTCAGCTGATATTCAGTAGTTCATCTAAAATTTGGTATGCTTATGATGATTTGCTTTAGGCTGATATTCTAAACAAAAAAATGAAAGAAAAGAACAACATAGAAAAAGGCCAACCAAGATGCACCAGGGTGGGTAATTTCAAGGTGCATTTTTGTCCATGTGATGCTGAGCATTTTCACGAAGCCACACTTCCTTCCTTCTGGTAACAATCAGGACTCAGGTCTGTCATAGACCCTTTGCTCATTTTCTGGTCAGGTAATATTCAATTCTATAGCCTCTTGTTGCAGGGGTCATAGGCTTCTAAAATGACAGTTGCATATTTCTGTGATGAAGCAGAAAAATTTACACAGAAATGTGCAAAACAACTGCAGCTCCTACATCCCAGGGAAAAAGACAGGTCACTATAAAACGTCACGAAAAAGAAAGGACAAAACCAGGTCAGCCTTTATATTTGTTATGCTTATTATCACATCCATAGCCACAAATTTTTCATCAGTTCATCTTTTGCAATTTAATTTATCTACTTGCACTCTAGGAAATGTGATGTTACTGAGAGCTCTGCAAAAATCATTGCTATTAACTATTAGCTAAAAAAAAATGCTGTTGAAAAATCTCCCCATAAGACTGAAAATTTATGTTGTACAAGTCTGTGGCAACATAATGTGAATATTAACTATTTTTTCTTTTCTTTTCTTTGGCTACTACTGGGTGTTCTGTTAAATGC